TTCAAGGCCCAGCTTAAAGACCATCTCTTCCGTAAATCCTTGACTGATCCTACACGAAGTAACTTCTTTCTTTTCTGAAATGTCAGACTATTTGGTATATCTCCCTTTTCTTATGTTGCCTTTTATATTATATTCTGTTATAGCAGCCACCATCCCCTTTGTAGTAGCACCTTATGAGTCTTGGTGTAACTTAAAAGAATACAGAGAGGCAAGACTTATTTGTTAGAACTTTTATTAAGAGGTTTTTACAGCATGATGTCCCCTATGCCATAGATGTCAAACACTGTCACAATGCAAACCTGATTCAGAAAGAGTCTCAGAGATTTTATAGGCTCCAGAATGAGAATAATGACCCAATTTTCTCCCAATTCTATTACTCTCCGCTCCATATAAAATAGAAGGAGGTTCGTCATCTAATCTTAGTAACCCGTGGCCGTGCCTCATTTTGGCTCCACATCAGCATTATAAACTCAGCCTTGTGTCACAACTCAGTAGAACTGGTTCTTACCTGACACTCACAAATTCTATAGACAGATGTTTGATCAGTTAAGCTGTTCTGTCTTAAAATCTTGAGACGACAGATTAGTGAAGGACATCAAGCTAAAAGTTTATTTTAGTTTGTTGTCTTTCATCATTTTGCTGGAGTTATCAGTTTTTCCTTTTACTCATTATTAAGACTCTATGCGGTTATGAATATTATAACTCGGCATATAATACCTTATGTTATACTCATTTCTTTAGAGCTCTTAATTGCCCTACTAGATTGTAAAGCCCATGAAAGCAGGGGCCACATCATACTTGTCTTTGTAACTTCACTGTCTTAGGCTTCCAAAATTGTCTGAAAAAGGTTATTGAAAACGAACAACTTGAATGGCTTTATGAGGGAAGGACTTGCCTGAGAATCTGAGCACAGCTGAATTATTATATAGCCTTGAGCCCATTACCTCGCTCCTAGAACAAATCTGATTGATGATGTCTCCCCTCTTTCCTACAAGGATATTTTGAGGCAAAATTGGGTTATACATAACAGTTTGAGCCTTTCAGAGATAGAATTACACAAGGCACTTTGCTTCTCAGGAGGTGCATAATTTAGTTAGATCACATCTTGTGCTGAGGTCCATGTTAACGTGAAGACTTTAATGAAAGCCTTCTTTTAAAAAAATTAATAAATGATTTAGCCTTTCTGGTGATTTTGAAATGGTTTAAGAGATTGCAAATCAAAAATGTATCAAGAGACTAAGTTAATTACCTGCCTCTGCCACCAGTTGCTCTATTCATGACCCAGGAAAAAGTCACTTCTTTATCTCTGCTCATTTTTGGCTGCCCCTTCCAGGGTGTTGTCAGAATATATTTTACTATTGTATCAAATAAAATCATGGAAATATATAGAGTTCAAAGCAAACTTAGCACCACCAGTTCCTGGTACATGATAGGGTCTCAGTAAATATTTGTGAAATAAATTAAGGAACCAATCAATCCATTTCCCACCACTGCAGATTACTGCAATATTCCAGGCAGGTATTTACTTCCCCAGCCTCTGTCTCAATATTCCCAGTGGTGGAGAGAGTTCATTCCCTCTGAAGGCCACTCATTCCATCTGTCAACAAATTGAATTACTATCACATGCCACCTCAGACTTCCATGAGGCTTTTTTTGATTCTCCTGGGTGGTTAGTCACTGCTGAGCTACCTTCCTCAAGCCTCTTAGTCATATCGCCGTTGTAGTATTGATCAAGGTCCATTATAATACCCTGAGTTATAATGCCTGCTGTGCCCCCCTTTCTAGACTGTAAGCTCCATGAGGACAGAGGTGTGTCTCATTTTCTTAAACTCGCAGCTCCTAGCATAGTATAGAATGGATGAAAGATTGGATGAAAGAGGACAGAGAAAATGAGAGGAAAGAATAATAACAGGGAGCATATGTATTGCTTGACAAACTCAGAGGTCTCCCAAGAGGGATATATGCACCCCAGAAGAGGCATAACAAAAACAATCAGTTGGGCTTCAGGAAGAAAAATTGTAAACTATTTCCATTCATTTTTTTAAGCTCAACCATTTTAACTTATATGGTGTCTGTGTGTATGTTTTATACTATACATACTATTTTAATATAGTTGTACATGTGTTATATATAAACATATATTAGAAGGTACACACTCAAACAGTTTCTGATAATGGCACAAATCATGAGTTTAGAGAACCTTAGTATAGCTGTTTGTCAGGTACTGTGCTAAGCATTTGATATACATGATTTAAGTTAGTCCATCGAAAAATCCCATGAGGTATACACTTATGATTCCATGAAGTAAGTGAGGCACAAAAAGGTTAAGTAATTTGCCCAATCACATATAGCTGGGATATGGTGAAACTCGGGCCTGCACTCAGATCAGTGTGGCTTAACCACTGCCCCATTCTCTCTTGTTTTAATGTCCCAACACCTAGGGTTGTGAATTAAATAAATAAATAAATGGAATGAATGAATGAATCATACTAAGTACATATTAAAGCTTTATTCTTAAGAAAAACTGTGAAAATAAAATTTCCTTTTTCATTGTAAAAGGAAATGCAAGACAAATAACATAACTATGTGATATGTTAGAATGTTCAGTTCCATTTCTAGACAGAAAAACTGAAGGACAGCAAGTCACTTGTTCACTGTTGAGCCCAAAGGCAAGTGGCTTACCTTATTTTCATATCTGATTATTGAACTACTTTTTTTTAATTGAGATATAATTCATATGCCATAAAATTCAGGAGTTTTTAGTATATTCGCAAGATTTTTTTATCAACCACCATAGCCTAATTTCAGAACATTTGCATCATGCCCAAAAGAAACCCGATAACCACTAGGGGTCACTCCCAATTCCCTTTGCCCCCAGTCCCTGGGCAGTCACCTGTCCACCTTCTATCTCTATGTATTTGCCTTTCCTGTATATTTCATATGAATGAAATTATGCAATCTGTGACCTTTTGTCTGTGGCTTCTTTCAGTTAGCATAATGTTTTCAAAGTTCATCTATGTTGTGACATGCATCAGTACTTCATTATTCTTTATGGCTAACTAATATTCTGTTGTGTGCATAAACAAAAATCCATTCATCAGTTGATGGACATTTGACTTTTCTACTTTGGGGCTATCATGTGAATAATGCTGCTATGAACATTTGTGTATGTTTTTGTATGCACGTATCTTTTCAGTTCTCTTGGATATATACCTACAAGTGAATTGCTGGGCCACGTGGCCCATGTTTGACATTTTGAGGGACCACCAAAATGTTTTCCAAAGTGGCTGCACCATTTTACATTCTCACCAGCAATGTATGAGGATTTCAATCTCTCCACATCCTTACCAACACTAGTTACTGTCTATCTTTTGTATCACAGCAATCCTAGTGGATGTGAATGGTATCTCATTGTGTTGATTTATATTTCTCTAATGACAGTGTTTATTGCTCCCCTATTTCTTTGGAATTTGAATTATTTCTATTTTCCTTTGTTTCAGTGTTTTTCTTTGGGATATAAATTTTGTCATCTTCTTATGGTATCTGTTTTGTCCTAAGAACTCTCAAAGCCTATTAAATACTCATGAAATCTCATATTAAAGATAGCATGACTTCTCAGGGTGCCATGCTGCTGGAGCCATGAACTGTAAGAATTTAAGTGAGTTTCCACTGGCCACTTTCCAGAAAAATCTCCACATCACATTATTAGATCACAAGCTTTCATCACCCCAAATTATGATAATGATGATAATGCTTTATTAAAAAGCTTTTAATGTCATAGAAATGCCAAGATTTTTTTTTCAAAATTATATTTTCTTGACTTTTTACATCCCTTTGAGTCAGAAAAGAAGGCAGTAGCTTTCTCAAAGGGTCTTCCAAGAAAAATGAGTAGAGATTTGAGTATCTTAAAAATTCTGGTGTGTTACGGAAAAAAGTTTTTTGAGCACAACCAGTGTTCCCATATGAACAAAGTTATTTCAAGATTATTTTAAGTTATATACCAGTCCTGGATGTAAATCACACTGCTCATTCATTTGTGATACTAACATTTTTGCAATGTTGAAATTAACTTTAGCTACCAAATTTGGTTTAGGCTAGAGGGAAAGGAAAGATTTTGAAAATTCTATACACCATACCAATACATTGAAATAATATTTATATTAGCCTCTAAAGATTTGTAGTAGTAGCAGTATTGACAGATTACATATATGGTGACGTCTATGTCAATATAAGTATTTATGGTAGCTGTGAGGTGTCCTGGTTTTCAAACCTTACATGTTCCCATCTTAAGTTCATATTTTATTTGATGATTTTTTAACAGCATTGGTCATTTTCCATCTTACTGTGAGTTAAATGTATTCGATCATAACATTCATAGTGATGAAATTCATCAGTTTTCTTGTAAACGACTTTTTATGGAAAGTGATTTCTCTTTTTTTAAAAAATTGCTTTGAATTTTTGTTAAGTCAGTCCTCAAATACTGGCTGGACTCCAGATGTGGGAAATACAATGGAAGTAAGACAGTCATGGTGCTTGCTTTTGTAGCATTCACAGACTACCTGTGGACTCCAAAACCAGCTACGTGGCTGCAGTTGTGATAGGGCTAAAAATGAACACTTTAAGATTCTATGAGAGCACATGATGTGGAGGAACTGACCCAGTTTTGGGTTGTCAGAAAAAGCTTCCCTGAGGAAGTAACACATAATTTAGTCCCTAAAGGGCACCAAGGAATTAGCATGTGGAATACGGACACTAAGGCAAACATGAGTTGGATGCTTTTGAGACCTGAATGAAGGATTGTGGCTGATGTGTCAGGAGGAAAAAGACGAGGTGAGGCAGGTAGGGCAGGCACCATATAAAGGCATATTCAGGATCTGGGCTTCTGTCAATGGGGAGCGACTGAAGGGGTTAAGGGTGTGGAATAGTATTTATTGTTAGCCCATAAAATTAAAAAAGGCCAAGTGACAGTTTGTTCTGTTACTCTCTTCTCTCTTGGTCAGGAATATGATTGGAGAAACTATCAGCCCAGCCAGATGAGTGAATCTGAGTTGCAAATGCTGGCAAGCCTACGGCGGCAACAGAATGAAGAGCTGGAGGACGCTGGGGCTTCCCATGGCCTGAGCGCATCCCAGGTCGACAACTGTAATGTCAGCATAAGCACCAGCAGTGATGACACAACCACCTGGAACTCTTGCCTGCCACCTGTGAGTCCGAGGCTTTGCATTTATTTTTGTTTATTGCCTTAAACAGGGAACAAGGAGCAAGCTTCTTTATAACAAAACACAGCCTTGCCCTGGGAAACTAGGGCCAAATTAAAACAGCATCTAGCACAAGCGCTGGCATGTGGAAGGGGCTCAATATTTGTTAATTAAATATCAGTTAAATGAATGAACAAAAAGGAAGATATACAACATATTTCTTGGATAGAAAGGCAGACAAGAATCTTCTGGAGAAGTTACCAGATGTTTGCTGACTCCTCCGTGTGTCTAAGGGCCATGATAGATGCTGCTGATGCTTCAGTGGCTTACATTTTCCCGTGTGTTTATGCAATTAAAGCACTTTTAAGTATGGCCCATTCATTCTCACTGTAGACCAGCAGAGGAGCTGGGCAGGTCAGTCTTCCTGTTTTTCAGGTGAAGAAACTAAACCCTAGGCCCAAGGTTCCATACCTGGTCAGTGGTGGAGCCCAGAGCAGAGCCCAGTGTTTTGACTCACTGCCTACTTTCCTCAAGGATCTATGGTTATTGGAAAGACAGAGCAGAAATATCCCCAGAACAGTCTTGTACAACGTAAGAAATGTCATGAGGCAGAATAATAAAATCATTGTTATAATAATGGTAATTAGAGCTACCATCTCTTTAAACACCTAGAGACATTTTAAGATCTCCATAGGCCCAAGGAACATTTACTTATAAGGTTACATTCAACATCAGCTCAAACATATTAAAGTATACTTTCATCCAACAGTAAATATAACGTTTTTACTGTATGGTTTTTGAAAGGAAATATAAAATTGTGCAACTTTGATTCATGCTTGTGTAAAATTAACATAAAGGTTGAGTTTAAGTGTAGTTGACAGTGGATAAGTTGTATTTTAAGTATTTAATTAAATACTTATTAATTTTGCAGATTATTTTTTCTATTTTAAAGTCGGTTTTTTCCAGGTCTCCAACATTTTTGTAGATTTTAGAAATCTCAGAGGCCTTGCACTAGGCCATGTGTTTTCTAATTTACTTCTTACTGCTATCCTATGTGGTAAGCACTATTGAGTTACAATTTACAGATGAAAAAATTGAGGCTCTTGAATAAAGTGATTCAGAGCTGGGTTGGCATGACTCTTAAGTCTGAGCTTTTAACCACCATGATCTGGTAACTTCTTAGTATGTGACTTTATTGTCAAATGAATGCTCCTGATACCCAGCCAAAGTTGAGATTTCTGCTCTGGAGAGAATTTACTAGTCTTCGTGGAGAAGGAATTCAAACTGACCCTAAGGAGGTCGGGTGAAGGGTGGCAGGTATGTTCATTTTTCCTTGGTGTTCTTTATTCTCACCTTGCCTACCCTCCAGGTTTCTCTTGCTTTACTTAACTGTGCTTTCATTAAACTGAATGATCAAGTATGCAGAACAAACAGACTTGGTGCCAAACAGTATCTACCTACCTAGCAAAAATACCCCAGTGTGGTGGTTACTCAGAGTATCTTTGTAGCCAGAGCTAAGAATATAAGAGTAAATTGCAGATTTTTGCCAATGCAGTTGACAATGGAACTGGAATATTGCCTTTCTTATAAAATATTCCTCAGCAATCATTTAAACCAAAAGTAAAAAGAGAACAATAGCCTCCTGAGTGAGCTCATTCTGTCATGTTGTAGCTCGGAGACCAGCATTACAAAGGGCAAACTAAGAAATGATTATTTATGGACTGGAAAGGCTGAACTCCTGGTTGCCCTGGATACCGTGTTCTCATCACTGTCCTGTTCTAGCGAGGACTGAAGTCCTCATGCATGACAACTACTTCGCTCTAAAAGTACATAGCCAAAAATAACCATTGATAATGAACTTAATAACTCCTCTATTTGACCAAATGAGAAATTGAAAACCGTGTTTTTTTTAGAGAGAGGATAATTGAAAAGCCCACCTTTGGTATTCGTAAGATATGTTTATTATTGCATCAAATTTAGTCTATTTCAATATTGGAACTATCACCAAATGGAAAATTGCATTCCTTAATGAACTCTGCATCTTGATACTCACATGGAGTTTAAATAGAGCAATTTATAAGAACCACTTTGGTCTTCTGAGAGCTCATGACTTTCTCTTTAGAAGTTGTACAGGGGCAATGAAAAAGAAGAAATGACATAACTTTGTCACACTGATATCCTGCATTTCTTGTATCTCAGTGATGGCAGCATCATCCATGCTGATACTCAAACCAGAAATTTGGAAGACATCTCCACTTCTCCCACTCTTTCTTTCCCCACACCCAATTGGTTTCCAAATCCTGAGAATCCTCTCTCCTTTTTACCTTTTAACGCTTTCTATCTAATGCTGTAGTTTGGCACTAGTTTTTATCTAAATTCCTTCAACAATTTCCTAATACCAAGGTACCTCTAGTCCAAGCACCATAGCCTGATGGTTAAGAGCATCTGCTCTTAAGTCAAGTTACCAAGGTTCAAATTCAAACTGTGGCCTTGTAAAGCACTTGACCCTGTATCTGAGACGTAATAAGCACTTAATAAATTAAGGTTAGTTGTCATTGTTATCACCATTGTTACTCACACTAGTGATCTTTCTAAAGCCCAGATCTGATCTTACTTCTTTCCTGCAAAAAGCCCTTTCATAATGCCCCAGCCCCTATTTAGTTTGACATGCAGGTGACCATTATCATCAATGGCCCCGAGGCCTGGTTGTGACCTCTTTGAAGACAGGACTATGCCGAGCACATAGCCTGGCAGGAGGTCACACTCAATCACTGCTGGTTGTTACTTGTTGGCTGAGTAAATTGATTAATAATATTAAAAGATTCCTTTTTTACTCTAAAATAAGATAGCTTCATCAGAATTCCAAAGTAAACATTAGCTGTGCTTTGCTTAAATAAATCCTGAATAATGCAGGTAATATTTTACATTCAAGATTTGATAAATGGGTGTTAAATATACACACAAAGGAAAAATCTCCCTTGAGGGTAGGGATTTATAACCAGTAGTTTTAAAAGGAGGTTTAGGCAGATCACATTCAGTTTAGCATCTTTACCTAATGACTTCATACAAGGTGCAGTCAAACCAGGAAGCTTAGGCAGAGTAAAATGAAGAGTCTTTAGCAAAATCTATTATGTTTACTATAAGCTTTGATTTCTCTGCTTTCCTCAGCATCTATACAGTTCAGAGTAATATGTACTGTTTAAAAGGTGTTTAGATATAATAAATTAGCCATTTAAAAGAGTAATTAAATGTAACCATATTTCTCATACCAAATTGGCTTTTGTAGGCATCTCTTGCTAAATAAGTCTAGCCTACTGAGAAATCCATTGGCCTTTGACAGACAAATTTTTCAAAGTTTCTAACTTAGAACCAAATTCAATTAAAACAATACTTTACAACTTCTGTGGAAACCAGGCTACAAGTAATCAATTTTGGAGGGTTGTATTAGGAGTAGCCCTCTTGAGATTTATTCGAAAATGGGCTCTAGGCAGACTTAGGAAAAGAGCTAGGAGTTGGTTTAATGGATTCTTAAGTGAATTTTATTTTGGTGAGGGATTTTGATTGGCAAGAACATAAAACCATGTCTTGAGGGTGGTGTGTGTGTGTGTGTATGTCTGTGTGTATGTGTATGTGTGTCTGGTGGTGGTGGTGATGGTGGTTTCTTTTTAAGGAAAAGAAATAGCTATTAATGGAACCTGCGTCATGTGAAGATGTAAAGAATTTAGACTTTACATTAGCCAACCTGGACTCAAATCTCAGCTCTGCTATTTGCTGGCACCATCACCTATAAAATGGGAATGATAGAGGCCCTTCCTTGTGTTGGCATGGTGGGAATTCAGTGAGTACAGAGAATGCATGTGCCCCGTGCCCAACAGAATAAGCTTACTCTAACTGCAATCTGCTTCTCCCCCAAAGGGCTCTTCAAAGGGCCACTTGAGTGATCAGAAAAGATTCCTGGGATATTTTCCCTTTTTATGACCACTCGGGACTTTAACGGTGGGCAGAGGTTCTGTTGTGCTTGTTTTGATGTGAGCTTAACCATTGGAATCCAGACTGACCCTTCACAGCTTTACAAATAAACTCACTATTTCAATATTTCGTTATTTCTCTGTCCCACCTGTAACCCAAATTCAAGAAAAGCATGCCTCATGTGCATCCTACCCTGTAAGCAGATGCCCCAAAGCCATCATTCCTTCAAGTTAACAGTTCCTTAAGCTAATATCAAGCACATAAGCCTCCTCAGCTTGCTTTAAAAAAAAAAAATCCTCGCATGCATCCATCAACATGGCACACTGCAGAGCATAATATTTGGGGAAAAATGAGGCAAAATGCACTTAATAAAATTACAAGCATATGGTAAGGTTCTCAGACTAGTTATTTATGGTCTTAATTAACCTTGCAACATTTTTGCCATTTTCATAGGTTTTCCATAACAACAGAAAAATATTGCCTTTACCTTTTAACGTGGCAGGATTATCTTATCTCCTGTTCTTTTATTTAGCCTTCACTTCTCTCCCTCACCCCAGAATTCCTAGCAGCTTCATCATGGAAAGGCAAAGCTTCTTGTGCTCTCTCCGCAGTAATTTCATGAGTACGGCTTTCCCAACACTAGTGCATAGCAACAGCGCCACCAAAAGGACAAGGTCCTTCGTTTCTAAGATCTGTTTCATGTTTTGGCTCATCAGCGTATCAGTGTTTTACATGATGAATGCTAGCTGCTGTGTGTCCAATGTATAATATATTGGCATTTCAAGCTCTTTATAGTTAATAGGTCTTAATTTGTTCTGATCTACAGATTTATTAACTTCTCAGCTCTCTTTGGTTATAATGGGTTTTCTTTTAATGCTCCTGAAGTAAAAAGGTAAGTAGTTGATTATGCTATAAGCTGCCAATAAATCAGATAAGCAGCTGTCCTTTATACCACTATAGAAGTGATATACAAAAACTGATATTAGAATTGGTGTAATATCTGTGCTGTCAAGAGAAAATATTGAAATGTGCAAGTTGTTCTGTGTTTAGTGACTATGAAAGTCACCCCATGAAATAAACTTTTCTCCTTCTTATTGTCTGTTATATCTAATGTTGTCTGAAATTTAATATGGCAAATTTTATTTTCTTTAATTTTAAATATATAATGACATGTCATAAGATGAAATCAAATGAATTTAATTTATATAGTAGTCTTATATATTTCAAATAAATATATCTCAGGACCACTTTTTTTTTCCTGCCATTAACTGAACTCAGTTTGTCATATTTGTTATTCAAAAACTTAGGCATTCACCACTCTAGATGAACCCCTAAGCTGGATTAAGCACTGCAATTTACTGATTAAGAGGGTAAACTGTGAAATCAGACTGTATGGGTTCAAATTCTGGCCCTGCTATTTCCTGACTGTCATGACCTTGGGTTAACACCCAGTGTCTGAATTTCTTCCTGTTAGATGGAGTAGTTAATCCTATCTATTTTATAGAATTGCTGTGAGTGAGGATCAAATGAGACAATACCTATCAAGGGTTTAACACATAGTGTTATAAATAACAGTTACTGCTATTATTATTATTGTCCTAGTTATTTGTAGGTACTGATTATTATCCCTTTGCTTCTTTTTATGGAATTCTCTAAATATGGTGACCTCCAAAATAAAAAAATCAATTTTATTCTTTTTAACTGCTGCTTTCATGGGATGTTACTTACCTAGAAATAGTAGAAATAGGTTTCCTGCCATATAGGTACAGAAACATATCTATCCCATTTGTAGATGGGGACATGTGGCTTCAGACAGCCCCTCCATCTCCCTGACTGCCAGCCCACCATCTTCAGAGAGCTTTTAGAAACCATTAGACATGTTTTTATTCAGTCTTATTTGGGCCTGGTAAAACAAAAAGACCTCATCCAAGTGAATGCTCTGCCCATTCAAAGCATCAAGCAAAGTTAATGGAAACTGAAATATCTTGAAGGAGCTCTTTCTTTATCTTTATCATTACCATAATCTCTTCCTTCCCATGAGTCTGATTGTGGAATTAGGGGACATGTACAGAGAAGGGGGACTGGAGCCACCCAATTTAGTATGGTACCCACTCCAAAGCAAGACTTAAGTCCCTCCCCAACACAGTCATTAGCAGTTGAGGTTTATAAGTCAGTTTATAGCAGTTACAAGTATGAGTCAGAATGCTCTGCCATGATTGCTATTATTAAATTTCAGTTGGTTATTGAATAAAATATTTTGAGTGACAGCTTGGTAATTAGTTTTCAGTAATAAGAATTAAGAAAAGGAATTGAGTATTTAGACTGAGTTCCACTAACCTGCAATTATTTTAACTGAATTTTTTCGTTTACTTTTGTTCGTGTCATCAGTCTTTACTACTTCAAACAGTTACCACTGGTTTTTTTATTTGTTTGTTTTCTAACACTTAAAAATCACTATGAATGTGAATCTTTTATTGATAGTGTCCTTTTTTACTCCTTGTATCATTGGATTTGTTTTATATAAACATGAGCAAA